TTAGGGTCAATTTAAATCTTACACTATTGCGGATACTGAACCAGCCGTAAACTAAACGCTAAGCCGAGCTTAAGTTTTGTCCAACCACTCTGTAATCTGCTTTAGTAGACAATGGCCGAGTTCAATCATTCGTGTGATAGTGCTTTACAAAGACGAAAATAATACCGATTATTTAATATGTCCATTGACGCTGTCGTTATTATTGGACCGTAGGATATCGGGTTATATATATATATATATATATATAAGTTACAATGAACATTATATCTCAATGGGAGCATCTCCAGCAACTACACTGAATTTCCACTAAAGTGCTAATAATATTAATTGTTTCTACGACAAACGTGTCGGTCTACTAATTATACATGCAACAATTTCAATTAACATTCTACTTTGAAATTCATGATTAAAATATTATATTTCAATCATGGGTTTGAAAAATACTATCTAGAGTCAGTGTTGCTTTTGTATGTAAAATGTGCTTTTTGCAGACTGCTTTCGCAAAAGAGCATGTAAAGTGTTAATTACAATTGTTACTTGGATAATTACTAGACCGTAAGTTTTATGCATTTTTAGCATAAAGATGTATGAAGAATATACAAAACAGCGAAAATATCAAAAGAATTTAAAAATATTGTTACGTTATTTGCAACCCTTTGGACCCATTAAGGGAACAGTGAAACTTTTATTTAACCTCTGCCCTGAAGCAATTAACGCAGAAAACGTTTACTTTGCATAAAAATCTGCAGTTTAACCATTACATTCTCCCAGTGTTTTTTTCAGTCAGAAAAACATTAATTATTCTTCTATTTACAAAGCATCTTTATGCTTTGCATTACTTAATAAATGTAAATTTTTTAAGAGACACTGTGATCATAAAACCGTCTGCATTAGTTGACGAAACTATAAAATTATATTTCTCTGAACGCAGAAGTTTTTATAACTTCATTCGGAGAAGTAATAAACAATCCTTCGGTTTCGTTACGAATGAAAAAGAACCGAAACAAACCGATTAGTTAAGAACTCATAAATCACCGTGACAACAAAATTCGTGGCTCGATTGTACGCCACTTCAAAATATAATTGTAATGTCGCTCCGCCAAAATGTCAACTTGCTGGCAATTTCGAGTTACATAAAACCCGTCACCTTCGTTTCTGATCTATCCACGCGAGACCTGTCATTCTGATTGACGCGTACACGAATCGCCGATTGAAAAAGAATCACGAAAATCTGGAAACATGAGCTAGGCGCTAAAGGATAAAATATGTCGGTTATTTCAGCCGTGGAGAGACAGTTTCGTGTAATTGGTTCCCGTGATTGATGCGACGTCCGAAATCCGTGGAAATGCGAATCATAAATCGCCGTGGAATTCGCTAAATGATTACAAGGTAATTTTCGAAGCTGAATGATATCTGAGCCGGAAACCACGAGTCGGCCGATTTTTCCTAGTTATTAACGGGAGAGCCTCGAGTAAAGCGTCAACATATGAATGATTGACGCCAATTTTTTGATAAATTCCATACGTATTCTTCGACATTTAGTCTAGTAATATAATCTAGCATTTTTCTCTTTTGACCTGAAACAAAAAATAAATCGTAGTTTTTAACCTAAATCTTATTTTAAATGATGCAAAAAGACTGATAATACGCGGCTCTGAGAATTAATTACAATAAAAATTGTGCACAAAAATCACTCCTTTGTTCTCAGAAATTTTTTCATAACTTCATCCAGTTTCTTTTTACTGAAAGGACTATTTTTGAAAAATAAATCTTAAAGAAGATTTATGTAATTTAAGATTAGTGTATAATACTGTATGCACTTACAATGCATAAAGAAACAGTACTTATAAAATTAATTCCAATATTACTTTATTTTGTAACATTGTCCCATTCGATGCAACCAATTCAGGAATATGGCAAAATGCACTTCTAAAACAAATTTAAAGCAAAGCCAATAGACGTAGGAGAAACTTGTCGACACTGTGCGTTCTTATGGTAAAAGAACTGATCTTTAAAATGTTTCGAACTAGAAGTCGATAGATCGTTTAGTTTTCTTGTTATCGTGTCCTGAACAAAGCTGTCCCATTCGTGCTAATGCCCGCCTACGTTGTAACGATAAAATTGCCGAAAATCATCCTTATTTTAACGTTTTACTCGAGGCACTACCCTTAACGACCGTCCGAGATTTTCTTTCCTGTTCGCCGCCGCAGCGCCCCGGCTCAAGCAAATACAGAGTTGCCGAGCTTATTGCATTTTATTAATTGCCTCGACCCAGTTAGTAATCCCGACCGGGCTCAATAAATAAGATAACGGGAAGGGAAGACGAGGGTCGTATTCGTCGTCGCGCGAAATTTCTCTTTCCAGAAATGGCGAGCTGCTCCTATCGCGAACGAACTGCCATTTTTTTTTCGTTCTTCTCACTTTCTTTTCGGTGACACCGGCGGCGAAGTTGAAAGGAAAAAATGACCACGAAAGTTCACGATGCATTCTGTCAATTAACGTTAACGGAGTACACCGGCGTTACAAAAACGCCACCCCTTCGCCCGTTCTGAATGAAATTTTAAATGGAATTTATGTGAAAATATGGGAGATAGTCATTTAGAAAGTTTCCACGTTGATCACTGGCATGTTAACATTTTCATGGAAAATGTGTGCCGCAGTTCGTCTTGCACACAGCGACACACAATGATCCCTGCTTTAGTTATTCATTAAGCAACGCGACGCGTTAATGAAAACTCTACTGTGGACGTGGAAATACGGTACAGTCAGTTGCAAAAGTCGGCTTATATTTTAGTGAATGCTAGAGATGAAATACTTCTATTATATTCTTTTTATTATTTTTTGCTTATTTCAACGTGGTCGCATTCACTGTGCAGTCATTAACAACTGCGACTAGTGATTAACTTTTTAATCAAGCACTTTTTACATTTTTTACGCTGAAGGTAGAAATGTAAATTTATTATATGTATATTCTTTTTTCATGATCACGCGTTTTGCATTTATTTATAAGAACTTTGAGAATTATTTGTTATTAGAATTTATTTCTTAGGAAATTAGTATATAGCCGTTATAATTACTATAATTAATGTCCTCGCTCTATAATCAAATTCTAATCGTTTTTGTGTATACACGGCAGTGTGAAAGGTAATAAATTCTTCTTCGGTGACGATTCCTGGAAATTCGCGCTTTGAGAAACGCTAGATTACGTTTTGAAGCAGATTACTTTCAGCGATATAATTAAAAGTTGTTAAATTAAAGTCTCAAGAGTATCGCTTCTCATTTCTCATTTCTCTGTTCGAATGTTCGTTCCCTTTTGACCTTTCTTTTTTTGTCTGCCGAGACGAGTTCTCGCGATCTGGAATCTAAGATGACGCCATTTGGGTAATCGTTCGATGCGAGAAAGGCGATTGTAATCGGAGAAAGAATGCCATTCAACGTTGCTCCGAGAACCTATTGCTTTACGTGATACGTTTAACAATTCGAGGAGAAGACGAAACGAAATCGAGAGACACTCGAGTGGTGCCTCAACGAAGATAGCGAGAATAGGAAATGCTGGATGCCCGAGTGACGGTGTGGAGCATGAATATTACCTGGAGAGCTCCAAGATTTTCAGCTTAGACAGCTTTCACTGAACACATATTGTCATGGGCTATACTGTCGAGCCCTGCGGAGGTCCCTGCGAATTTCAGAAATAGACAGAGGCCATTGTCGTTCACCCTGTGCTATTCAATTTCTTTGAAATATACTGTACAATCTGTACACGACAGTCTTTATACCTGCAATTTATGTTCGTGCAATTTTATGCAATTTCTCATATTCATACACCGTTTTGCAAAAATTCCGGTGGCCCACAAAAGTGTTCGTACACCTTTCAAAACGCAATAAATTTTTCAAAACTGAACTAAATGACTTGCATTTTTTTAGATGATAGAAAGACTAGTCTATTAGATGATGGCTAAAAAACTTATTTTTAATTATGCTATTACTTGGAATGAGAAGAAAAAATCAAGAATCCTTGTTTTTTCACTTTTCTATCTGAGCCTTTAACGAAATTTTTAAAAAATGCCTTCTGTTGATCTCGGTAACTTAAATGCGTGTTGAAAATTTGATTGAAGTCGGTTAACAGACGTTGAAGGGTTTTGAAAACTGCAGATTTCTTACAGTTTTTGATCAAAATCGCGATAAAACTGCGATTTCTGCGATCTTTAATTTGTTGTAACTCATAACAATGTGGACCGATTCCGATAAAATTTTCAACATGCATATAAGTTACTAATTAAACGCTCGAAAATACTTCAACTTCAAAATCGAGACATTTTTTCTAAACTAATAGCATTTCCATTTTCTGTTTTTTAATCATGAACCGGACGCAAAACCCTCAAGGGACCTGTAAAAATTGGAGAACAAAATCACGCTGCTGTGACTGTTAATTCACTAATTGACACCACATAACGTTTCGCTAAAAAATAAAGAAGCGTGAATTATAAAACAATTGGCTGAGGTGTCAAACACCCACACGACCGTTCCAGAGTTAAAGTCGATGGTGACAATTTTTGTTTTCCATAAAGATCCGCAGCCTAATTGTTAACACGTTCCGTGCCATGTGTACCATCGATGGTACATGCTTACATGTTTCTTTAATGCGTTAACAAAATAGTTTGTAGCAAATATAGAACCGAAGAATTAATTCCACCGCAAGAATGGGTCATGATAAGTTTGTTTTATTGTTACATACGATGATTAATAATTACATATAATATATCAAGTTTTAGTAAAATATCAAATGGCCAGCGTGAAAAGTCGAGTAAAAACAACTCGGCACAGAACGTGTTAAAGAAAATGTAAATATTTTCCCCTGTGATGGGGCGAAATATTTTTGAATATTTTTCAACGATTTAAGTCTGAAAAATAGAAATCGCAAATTTGCGAGATATGAAAAATTACACTAATAATTTGGTTCAATAATTCAATTAACGAAGTCATCGTTTTTGATGTTACAGGACGAGAAGAACCAACTGCTCATCACGAACCTTTGGCTGAAATTGGTAAGTTTTTGTACGTTCAATGATACAAGACTTCACGTATTCGACGAAACGTTTTCAGAAATTCAAAAGCATTTTTTAAGCACGAGTTTAGTTTTTCGCACTGATCCGTTGCAGGAATGCTATGTATAAACAATAAATATGGAATCGTAGGAGTACACGTTCCACAGAATTCGTCGTGCATGAATTTATCGTTCCAGTCAAAATGATAAAAGAAATGAAATTTATTAAAAATTGTTGAAATTTCAGGGGCCAAATACTCATACTCGACGTTAATAAAATAATCGTACAGGAATTTTTTCATAACAATTTCCGAATACTTCGAACGCCGAGAGTCATAATTTGCTGGGCCATAAATGGGCGCTCTTTTTAAATAATTGATGTAATCAAACTTGAGAAATTCGAAATATTGGGATATCATGTAATTAAAAATCGTGGTTAACGTGATTGAATTTGTATGAAAAACCAAGAAAAACAAAGCGCATAATAATACTCACTTATATTTTTGTATTCGTTCGATTTATTTCGTTCGACCTGCAAATTTTCAAAACATCTTAATATTTGCAAAACATATTTCTGTTTCCACTAAGATTGCAATTTAAACGGCAACTTGCTATGCACGACGAGCGTACTCGTCGTAACTCAAATCATTGTCATTTCTTCGTGACGAGTGTACTCATCAAAAACAGCTAACTGGTCATGGAATCGTCGAACAACTCATAAATACGAAATAATCGCCGATTACAGAAGGGTGCGTTCGGCAAGCATAATTTATTCACAGGTTTTCCTTGAATTCGAGCACCGTGGGTTCCATTGGCCTTCTGGTCGAACCCGGACCATCGTGTTTTTCATGCAAATGCTCGAAGTTCCGTGAAAGAAGCATTACGCGGCGGGAACTATTTCCAACTTCGAATCGTGNTGTAAAAATTGGAGAACAAAATCACGCTGCTGTGACTGTTAATTCACTAATTGACACCACATAACGTTTCGCTAAAAAATAAAGAAGCGTGAATTATAAAACAATTGGCTGAGGTGTCAAACACCCACACGACCGTTCCAGAGTTAAAGTCGATGGTGACAATTTTTGTTTTCCATAAAGATCCGCAGCCTAATTGTTAACACGTTCCGTGCCATGTGTACCATCGATGGTACATGCTTACATGTTTCTTTAATGCGTTAACAAAATAGTTTGTAGCAAATATAGAACCGAAGAATTAATTCCACCGCAAGAATGGGTCATGATAAGTTTGTTTTATTGTTACATACGATGATTAATAATTACATATAATATATCAAGTTTTAGTAAAATATCAAATGGCCAGCGTGAAAAGTCGAGTAAAAACAACTCGGCACAGAACGTGTTAAAGAAAATGTAAATATTTTCCCCTGTGATGGGGCGAAATATTTTTGAATATTTTTCAACGATTTAAGTCTGAAAAATAGAAATCGCAAATTTGCGAGATATGAAAAATTACACTAATAATTTGGTTCAATAATTCAATTAACGAAGTCATCGTTTTTGATGTTACAGGACGAGAAGAACCAACTGCTCATCACGAACCTTTGGCTGAAATTGGTAAGTTTTTGTACGTTCAATGATACAAGACTTCACGTATTCGACGAAACGTTTTCAGAAATTCAAAAGCATTTTTTAAGCACGAGTTTAGTTTTTCGCACTGATCCGTTGCAGGAATGCTATGTATAAACAATAAATATGGAATCGTAGGAGTACACGTTCCACAGAATTCGTCGTGCATGAATTTATCGTTCCAGTCAAAATGATAAAAGAAATGAAATTTATTAAAAATTGTTGAAATTTCAGGGGCCAAATACTCATACTCGACGTTAATAAAATAATCGTACAGGAATTTTTTCATAACAATTTCCGAATACTTCGAACGCCGAGAGTCATAATTTGCTGGGCCATAAATGGGCGCTCTTTTTAAATAATTGATGTAATCAAACTTGAGAAATTCGAAATATTGGGATATCATGTAATTAAAAATCGTGGTTAACGTGATTGAATTTGTATGAAAAACCAAGAAAAACAAAGCGCATAATAATACTCACTTATATTTTTGTATTCGTTCGATTTATTTCGTTCGACCTGCAAATTTTCAAAACATCTTAATATTTGCAAAACATATTTCTGTTTCCACTAAGATTGCAATTTAAACGGCAACTTGCTATGCACGACGAGCGTACTCGTCGTAACTCAAATCATTGTCATTTCTTCGTGACGAGTGTACTCATCAAAAACAGCTAACTGGTCATGGAATCGTCGAACAACTCATAAATACGAAATAATCGCCGATTACAGAAGGGTGCGTTCGGCAAGCATAATTTATTCACAGGTTTTCCTTGAATTCGAGCACCGTGGGTTCCATTGGCCTTCTGGTCGAACCCGGACCATCGTGTTTTTCATGCAAATGCTCGAAGTTCCGTGAAAGAAGCATTACGCGGCGGGAACTATTTCCAACTTCGAATCGTGGTCATAACAGATTCTTATCAACTGGAACTATTAATAGAGTCACGGCAACAGGTACACCCCCGACAGAGCGGCTGAAGTGGCGCGCCCTTATTAGGGCAGACTGCCGTAATATTTCCTTTCCGGAGGTTTCGAACCGCGCTTTAAAACGCTTGTCGTTGCTCATTTCCAACGGCTTATGCCTCGTCAATCCTCGCCCTCATTCAGAACCTCTGCTGAGCCGTATAGCAAGAACGGCTTTGCAATGACCCAAATTCGCAGTTAACGATTCCCCGATGATGTTTTGCCCGATTGACAAATCGACCAACTGCCCCCTTGTGCCCCTCCACCGACGACCCCTGTCAACAATTACAACGGAACAGATGCGGCATCGCGTATCAGTTAATCACGCGCTCTTGATTGCCATTTAGCGATCTAGAAATTAATATTTCAGGGACGATCTGCTACGTCAACGATGCGGCCGAATTTGTCTGTCATCGACACTCAATTAGGGGAACAATGAGTCAGGAAAATATTATTGATACCGGTGGTCTCTCGAAAACATTTTCTCGGCAGATCGCAAGATTTCGACTTTACTGAAACTTGGTAATCAGCAGTGGGTGAGGTTGTTCACGAAGTTTTTTTTACTGGAAGTATAAAATTCAGAGTCCTGGATCAACGGCAGAATGACTGATTTGTTTAAACAAAAACATAATTGTCAAGAGAGGTTTCCCGCTATACAATTAGTTTTGAAAAAGTATTTTCTAAATTCTGTATCTCGAGAAGATAAAATTATTTGTGGTCTCTCTCGGTTCTAACGATGGATTTCAGTAAGGATGGAGAAAAAAGTGTAACATACCATTTGAATCGAGAATAATGAATCTTCCATAAAACTCAGTTTCATATCCATGAAACGCAACGGGTCGTATAAAATGGAAACGCTGTTAGTCAGAAGAACTATTTCGATTTACAGTTAACATGGCTTCGAGAATCTCTCAAAATTTAGTTTAGTCAAAATTTAGTTAAGAATTAAAATTTGACGCCTTTTGACCTCTTCGGTAAAAAATAATGTCAAATTAAAATCTGAAAAAGTGCCTTCTGATCCCCTCGGTAAAAATGCTGTTAACGTAAGAGTAACATTAAACTCTCGTTGCGGTAATTTTCAGTGTCATAATTTCGTCGAGCAGCGCGGTTTAGGTCGGCCAAGGTGCAAAGGGAAGCATAATGCAACGAGTTTAGGAATTCGTCGTTCCTCAGATGCTGGTTCACTGCGGAATTTCGTAGTTTTATGGCGCCGCGCTAGATAATAGAGGGTAAACTCGACTATTTTTATCGCGGTGGTTGCAAAAGCATGCAAATCTTTCATACGCCGTCGAAAAGTTTTTGTTCCCCACTTTTTAACCTTCTTCCCGTACCCTCGCACGTCAAGTGCATGTACTATGCCAACAGAACGCGCAGCTGCACTTGACTTGCAGCGCTGATATCTTTTTGAATATAAGTCTCGGATGTATTCAACGACTCCGAAGTAAGATTCGGAGATATTCGAGATATATTCGACGTTGGCACGTATCGAAACCACGTCCTACATTTCCCAACGACGCGACGCCGCGACGTTACTATCAAACACACTTGCTCCGGTAAAGAAACGCAGACCGGAAGAATACATTCTCTCCACGTAACAGGTGTGCCGTGCCATCGGCAGGACAATAATTCTGTACGTTCGAACAATTTAACCCTTTGCGGACGAGAATTTTCTTAGTGCTGAGGATATTTTCCTGAAAGAATTGGATTACATGTCAAAAAGACGAACAATGAGAAAAAAGAACAACACGTGTTAATTTCGTGTTGTTCACGTGATCAAATTCGCATCCAATAATCATAAACATGTCGCTCTTTACTTATATCTTTTAATCACTTACATCACTTTAATCACTTAACATCAAATTCTGAGCCAGCAATTTCTGCAATAAGGTTTACATTTCTGATGTTAATATGTCGACATTCGTCCTCAAAGGGTTAATCCTTGGACGTACAGTCGCTTACTAAAGCATTCAACCATCACTTCAAGTCGAATAATATTCTTGAAATTGAACCAAATGACTTGAATTTTTCTTTAGATGGTATTGGAACTAGTTTATTAAAAACGATGTCTGAAGAAATTTGTGCAAAAATTGCAATTTGTTTTCATGACTTTCGACCAATAATTCTGTGAAGTTTGAAGATTTTTCATCTCAGTTTAAATGATTTACATGCAGTATAAATAAAGTAACTTATACAGTTTAAATAAACTAACTAATTCTGATGACACTAGTAGCTTCGAAGAAATTCAATCATCGTACTCTGTTGAAATTAATCATCAGATATATCTTTTGTAATATTCTGATAAATGATATTCTATTAATACAACATTTATCTGATCCAAAAGTTTCACCGACGTTTGCTGGATCTGTAACACCAACCACCGTACAGTAATTTTCATTTGGATTTCGAGATGCAGAACGTGAAGATGCATACTGCATCTCTAGAGCCTGGCGCT